CCTCTTCTGATCACACAGAGGGGAGGGGGTCCTCTTCTGATCACACAGAGGGGAGGGGGTCCTCTTCTGATCACACAGAGGGGAGGGGGTCCTCTTCTGATCACACAGTAGGAGAGGGGAGGAGGTCCCTCTTCTGATCACACAGAGGGGAGGGGAGGGGGTCCTCCTCTGATCAGTACTAGGGTCCAGTGGCTATCAGGGCTGGGTCAGCATGGAGTTTGTATGTTGTTATTTGGGGGGATCCCCGGACTGATGGTGTCCCTTCTGTCTGCAGACTCTGGTGCAGGTGGGTCTGTACACCTTGGGGCGCAGTCCCCTCGTGTTCCCGGACGCCCTGCGCTATGACCCCGCGCGCTGGCTCAGGAGGGAGGAAACAAACTTCAAGGCTCTGGCATTCGGCTTCGGCTCGCGGCAATGCATCGGACGCAGGATCGCCGAGACGGAGATTGCGCTTTTCCTGATGCACGTGAGTCCCGGGGACTATTGTGGGGACCCCATGAGGGGGATCCAGGGATGAGTATGACGGCTGCCACTCAGGGGACACGGGAAGGAGCAAGTCTCAGTCTCTCCTCCTCCGTTGCGTTTGCCCCTCGTCCTCCTCCGTTGCGTCTCTCTGTCCTCCTCCTCTGTTGGGTTTGCCCCTCCTCCTCCTCCGTTGGGTCTGCCCCTCCTCCTCCTCCGTTGGGTTTGCCCCTCCTCCTCCTCTGTTGGGTTTGCCCCTCCTCCTCCGTTGGGTTTGCCCCTCCTCCTCCGTTGGGTTTGCCCCTCCTCCTCCGTTGGGTTTGCCCCTCCTCCTCCGTTGGGTTTGCCCCTCCTCCTCCTCCGTTGGGTCTGCCCCTCCTCCTCCGTTGGGTCTGCCCCTCCTCCTCCGTTGAGTCTGTCTGTCCTCCTCCGTTGGGTCTCTCTGTCCTCCTCCTCCGTTGGGTCTGCCCCTCCTCCGTTGGGTTTGCCCCTCCTCCGTTGGGTCTGCCCCTCCTCCGTTGGGTTTGCCCCTCCTCCGTTGGGTCTGCCCCTCCTCCGTTGGGTTTGCCCCTCCTCCGTTGGGTCTGCCCCTCCTCCGTTGGGTTTGCCCCTCCTCCGTTGGGTCTGCCCCTCCTCCGTTGGGTTTGCCCCTCCTCCGTTGGGTCTGCCCCTCCTCCGTTGGGTTTGCCCCTCCTCCGTTGGGTCTGCCCCTCCTCCGTTGGGTTTGCCCCTCCTCCGTTGGGTCTGCCCCTCCTCCGTTGGGTTTGCCCCTCCTCCGTTGGGTCTGCCCCTCCTCCGTTGGGTTTGCCCCTCCTCCGTTGGGTCTGCCCCTCCTCCGTTGGGTTTGCCCCTCCTCCGTTGGGTCTGCCCCTCCTCCGTTGGGTTTGCCCCTCCTCCGTTGGGTCTGCCCCTCCTCCGTTGGGTTTGCCCCTCCTCCGTTGGGTCTGCCCCTCCTCCGTTGGGTTTGCCCCTCCTCCGTTGGGTCTGCCCCTCCTCCGTTGGGTTTGCCCCTCCTCCGTTGGGTCTGCCCCTCCTCCGTTGGGTTTGCCCCTCCTCCGTTGGGTCTGCCCCTCCTCCGTTGGGTTTGCCCCTCCTCCGTTGGGTCTGCCCCTCCTCCGTTGGGTTTGCCCCTCCTCCGTTGGGTCTGCCCCTCCTCCGTTGGGTTTGCCCCTCCTCCGTTGGGTCTGCCCCTCCTCCGTTGGGTTTGCCCCTCCTCCGTTGGGTCTGCCCCTCCTCCGTTGGGTTTGCCCCTCCTCCGTTGGGTCTGCCCCTCCTCCGTTGGGTTTGCCCCTCCTCCGTTGGGTCTGCCCCTCCTCCGTTGGGTTTGCCCCTCCTCCGTTGGGTCTGCCCCTCCTCCGTTGGGTTTGCCCCTCCTCCGTTGGGTCTGCCCCTCCTCCGTTGGGTTTGCCCCTCCTCCGTTGGGTCTGCCCCTCCTCCGTTGGGTTTGCCCCTCCTCCGTTGGGTCTGCCCCTCCTCCGTTGGGTTTGCCCCTCCTCCGTTGGGTCTGCCCCTCCTCCGTTGGGTTTGCCCCTCCTCCGTTGGGTCTGCCCCTCCTCCGTTGGGTTTGCCCCTCCTCCGTTGGGTCTGCCCCTCCTCCGTTGGGTTTGCCCCTCCTCCGTTGGGTCTGCCCCTCCTCCGTTGGGTTTGCCCCTCCTCCGTTGGGTCTGCCCCTCCTCCGTTGGGTTTGCCCCTCCTCCGTTGGGTCTGCCCCTCCTCCGTTGGGTTTGCCCCTCCTCCGTTGGGTCTGCCCCTCCTCCGTTGGGTTTGCCCCTCCTCCGTTGGGTCTGCCCCTCCTCCGTTGGGTTTGCCCCTCCTCCGTTGGGTCTGCCCCTCCTCCGTTGGGTTTGCCCCTCCTCCGTTGGGTCTGCCCCTCCTCCGTTGGGTTTGCCCCTCCTCCGTTGGGTCTGCCCCTCCTCCGTTGGGTTTGCCCCTCCTCCGTTGGGTCTGCCCCTCCTCCGTTGGGTTTGCCCCTCCTCCGTTGGGTCTGCCCCTCCTCCGTTGGGTTTGCCCCTCCTCCGTTGGGTCTGCCCCTCCTCCGTTGGGTTTGCCCCTCCTCCGTTGGGTCTGCCCCTCCTCCGTTGGGTTTGCCCCTCCTCCGTTGGGTCTGCCCCTCCTCCGTTGGGTTTGCCCCTCCTCCGTTGGGTCTGCCCCTCCTCCGTTGGGTTTGCCCCTCCTCCGTTGGGTCTGCCCCTCCTCCGTTGGGTTTGCCCCTCCTCCGTTGGGTCTGCCCCTCCTCCGTTGGGTTTGCCCCTCCTCCGTTGGGTCTGCCCCTCCTCCGTTGGGTTTGCCCCTCCTCCGTTGGGTCTGCCCCTCCTCCGTTGGGTTTGCCCCTCCTCCGTTGGGTCTGCCCCTCCTCCGTTGGGTTTGCCCCTCCTCCGTTGGGTCTGCCCCTCCTCCGTTGGGTTTGCCCCTCCTCCGTTGGGTCTGCCCCTCCTCCGTTGGGTTTGCCCCTCCTCCGTTGGGTCTGCCCCTCCTCCGTTGGGTTTGCCCCTCCTCCGTTGGGTCTGCCCCTCCTCCGTTGGGTTTGCCCCTCCTCCGTTGGGTCTGCCCCTCCTCCGTTGGGTTTGCCCCTCCTCCGTTGGGTCTGCCCCTCCTCCGTTGGGTTTGCCCCTCCTCCTCCGTTGGGTCTGCCCCTCCTCCTCTGTTGGGTCTCTCTGTCCTCCTCCTCTGTTGGGTTTGCCCCTCCTCCTCCTCCGTTGGGTCTGCCCCTCCTCCTCCTCCGTTGGGTTTCCCCCTCCTCCTCCTCGT